AGCTGATTGTCATATTTATACGTCATTTCTATACTTCATTTCTATATTTCCTGCCATAAAAATAGCTGTATACAATCAGATTACGGGACCGTAAAAATAGCCACTACGTTTCTTTTTATCTTGACCAGTATAGTATAAACAAGCGTAACAGTGTAAAAAATATTCCTATAATTGATTTCACCACCTTCCAAATAACTGGATTTTATTAAGACTTATAGAGGCCCTCTCTACCTTCTAATGCTTCTAGAGAAGTCTTTAGACAGTATCTCTATGTTGTCTTGCTGTTAGAAAGTTCTTCACTTTGTCCCATGTTTAAGCCGCCATTTTGTTTGCCGTGACCACACCCACTACGTAAAGGAGCGTGGGCGGGTGGTTGCTAAGGCTTATGAATTTTGTTATTTCCCCAATCATAGATATTAGAGTATAAAGGGATTGGTAACTGCGTAGGTGGTAGTTATCACCGTATAGATTCTAATTTTCCGCATTCAATAATTACAATGCAAAAGTCAAAGAAGAGCTAAATTTTTGCCAGAGAATGACAGGTTTATAGGATTTCAAAAGAACATATCAATACAATTACTAGCCAGTTCACTAAAGCAATATGCTACCTGTTGCATGTGTTTCTTTCCTAGCTTAAATATTTACTGTTTCGGAGAAAAAGGTACAGAAACTTTGTCACTTTTACAACACAAAATTTGAGTTTCTGGAGAAGATGTATGAACTACAAGTCTGAGAATACCCTAGTTACATGCAACTCAAAGTGCTTGATTGTTCTATGCTTGCTACTTTGTTGTAAAACAAGAGATATTTTAGTAAAAGGTACAGAACATCAGAAAAGAGGTCCCGCTTGACACCCGCTGTTAGTAATGAATGAAACAGTTTGTTACTTTTGAATAACTGTATGAAATTTGAATTGATAAATATAGAAGTTATAAGGTATTTTATGCATATTTTTGTTGATTTTTTGCAACTACCGGGACTAAGTTATGAACAGAGAAAAGTGGACCTCTCCCGTTGCTAAGGAGAAACTAGGATGCGGGAAGTGATAACTTCGCCCTCCATTGGTTTATACAGGCCACCCATGCAGTTTCCAATCCCTTTATACTCTAATATCTATGCCCCAATACAATAGAAGAAATGTAAGTGTGGACATACAAATATGCTGTAATTTGCCTTTTTTTCATACAAAAATTTTTCGTTTCAGAGAAATTCATGTGGAAATATTTTCGTCTTCTCATAGCGAGGGGTCCGCAGCTGTCTCGAAAAGTGTACGGAATTAAAAATTCACCAAGATTTTGGCTGGATTATTGGATTATTTTGTGGATTATTGGATTATTTTATGGATTATTATTAATAGTTATTGCACTTAATAACTAGCAGCCACCATGTTATTAAAGTTAATTAACCATTATCAATTTTAACTAACTATTAGTAACAGTTAATAAGCTATTTTCAGTAAATTTCCGGATATTGTAACTAGATTTTCTTGGATTATTGATTGGATTTTTGGATTATTTGTGGATTATCACTTGGATTATCTGGATTATTGCTGGATTTCTGTGGATTATTGGATTTTCTACTGGATTTTTCGGATTATTTAGGAAGTGTACGAGCATGGGCAGATCTGGGGTCAAAATGATGGTAGGGCACTGATTAATCAAATTCATGGGCAGGTGTGGCTTATTAGTAGTTATTACAGTTATTAATCAGCTTGCTGGGGAACTTCTTAGTACTTGTGGTTAGTTGTCACAGCTGGGTAAATACGGGCTTGGGTTGAGATTTCACTGAATGTATAATACAATCAGACAGTATTTTACATAAATATTATTATCTAAACAATGAATATAATTATCTAGCAATGAATATAATTAGTAAGCCCTTTTGATGGTAGGGCAAATGCCCTGCTTTGCCCACCCCAGATCCGCCACTGTGTACGAGATTTTTCTTAGTTGTGGGCCCCTCGTCTCATAGTGTAGGAAAATTTTTACACTCTGAAAATTTAGCTTCTCTAGCATATACCTTGTCCTCTACCTACTGGTAACAAGGCCGCTATAGTAGTATTTACAATTCTTGAGATATGAGATTCTTGACCTGGCTGTTCCCCGACATTACTAGTATACGGATAGTACTGGAGATGCAGCAATGACCAATTTAAGGATAATAAACGGAAAAATTAAATGGCTACTTTTGTCACATGGTGGACCGTTTTATTTTATAACTCAGTAGTGAAGCAACTAATTGAAGTACAGCAAGCACCAGTGGATAGAGCAAGGTTAGAGCTGCAAGAAGATACCTACTCATCAGGCCGTACCTTAGTCTTTCTTTGATGAATTAGGTCACAAATTTTGGTTGCTCAAAAATTTTCGATTGAAATATTTTTGTCATTTTAAGACCATAAGAAAATATTTCCACAACGAAAAAAGGCAAATTACAGTATATATATATATACATATATATATATCTCATAATTATGACATCATCCTTTGATGTGGTTGGGTTTATATTTTTGTATATATACCTGCCATTCAGAAATGCTGTCATCATTATGAAATATATCCTATATAACATACTAAAACTGGTCTATATACAAAAGAATATAGACCTTTGGTG